TTTATATGGTATAAAGTTTTTCCGGCTTCGATACTGACCGGAACTTGATACGCGAATATGTAGGCTAACCTACGTATCTGGCGGTAACGACAATAACCGACAACTCTGTTGTCCAGATCGTATAGCCCACAAACTAGTAAAGTTTCCAAATACGCAACGTTTCCAAACTGCATTAGGCGAAGAAAAGCTTCGTTATAGTAACTAAAATATTCAATATTTTGCTTTATAATGTAAACACTGGCAGCTGACAAACGTCCTGCCTCCCGCATGAATTGAATTTTGAATTGAATTGAATTGAATTTATTAATTTACCACAATTGGTTGATACAACAATTTACAAAAGCAATAAGATAGAAGAGACAAGAAATGAAAAATTGTGACGAGGTAGTCCAACTAGAAGCCAAGGCTTATTATTTGCTAGACGTCTACCTCATGTCAAAGAATAAGTTATCTAAATATATATATAAGTGAATGGAGAAGGTATTTGACCAATTGTTTATCTATGAATCGATTAAAATGATCTGATAGTTTTTTATTAATAATAGGGGGCATTTTTGGGACACTCTGAATAATATTCCAGTTCAAGTTATTTTAAAGATTGGTATTTGTTCTCCTCATCCCTGGTTTTGCTCAACTCAGTATATGTAGACTCGTCGTCATCTACAGCTTCATTACTTGCAGCATTCACTCTCAATGATTGATAATTATCTTCTGTATTCATTTTTGAAAGATCAAGCTCTTGATAAGTTGTATCAGCTTCAGTTGTCTTTGTTTCGGGGTTTAATTCAGGTCCTCTGTTTCTCAACGATTGATAATTGTCTTCTGTGTTCATTTTTGAAAGATCAAGCGCTTGGTAAGTTGTGTCAACTTCAGTTCGTTGTAGTTCAGGATTTGATTGAGGTTTTGTGTTTCTCAATGATTGATAATCATCTTCTGTATTCATTTTTGTAAGATCTAGTGCTTGGTAGGTTGTATCAGCTTCAGTCGTTTGTGCTTCAGGGTTTTGTTCAGGTTTTCTGTTTCTCACCCAACGACGACGAGAACACCAGACAATGTAAGAAAGAAGAATTACAATAATAATTCCAGACACCAGTATTACCGCAATGATGTACCATTCGATTCCACTACTCGCATCATTTGAAGATGATATGTCTAGATATACGAAAAAGACACAACAATATATATAGTAGGTCAGGGGCTGCGAAGAAGGTAATTTCTCCATTTTAATGCTCTATAAAAGTATGAGGGAAGTCAGATTGAAGCGTAATATGTATTTTTTTTTTTTTATTTGTTTCGTGTTATACCTTCCACCACTTCCAAGTTTGACTGTTATAATGGTATTGAACGACTACCCCCCCTAAATATTTTATTTGTGAAATTTTTTCATAAAATGATGAAAAAGATCACACATCAACAACTCTGAAAAATGGTTTGATATGTAGCGTATAACTAAACAGTATAATTTTTAACAACGTTTGCAAAAGGATTTACATTTTACAATATATTAGAAATTGATGCTTGTGTTCGAAATTGTATTCGTTTCAAAGTACTTTCCAGGAGAAAGAAAACTAAACGGTTGTAATTTGGCTGCTTCACGTGTAAAAAGAAAATTGAAAATAGATTTTCCAGTACCTGGACTAGTGGTGGTGTCGGACTCTTTGCTTGTTGATAATGGTTCTGTTGGTGGTCTTGTTGTGGGTGATGGTGGCTCTATTTTACAAATCAGAAATAAAATTATTACAATACACCGGAATTTTCTTGAAAAGGTAATTGTACTTGGCTACGTGCACTGCGTTTCTATGCACGTCAAAATGACTAAATTGTGGATTTGATTGACCTTGATTCGTATTCGTAATTTTGTTTCCGTGGTCCGTTTCCTGACCAACATCAGCGATTGCCCAATTTGACAAGCAACAACGTTGGCAAATGTTGGAAGCAAATATTAACGCTGTTTGCTCCGGCGACTGGCTTTGAACAGGACGGAAGCGATAAAGAAAGTGAGGCAGCCGATGACGATTGACGACGAACCAGAAGACGAGCAGAATGAAACCCTCGGGAACACTTTGAAGCCTTTGTCGAAGCTCTGACAATCGCCATTTCGCCAACCGTATATATATATTATGTAATGAGTCATGCGATACTGTAAATGCAGTCCTGGATCGTTGTGACCCATTTCCGATGCGAAATGAGATCAGATACTGTAGGTAATGTTTATAAAGATGTCGGCTGTGCGGTAGAGTGAAATACCGTAATAAATCACATTGTCACGTGGTACAAATGCTGTTTTTTGATTGGATAATTTGAATTTGAGGTATGTATATATAGCCATTTCAAAAAGGGTTGTCCTTTGCAAATCTTAAACTTTAACCTCAAACTCTAAGCGCGCAAAGCTTAATCGGAACACAAGTTTCAAGTAGTAGTTGAATATTGCAGCTATTTTTTAATTAATTGTTCTCGTAAGATGATATTTACTGGACCATATTGCCAAGAAATGGATTCAGTATCGTAATGGTGATGAATATGTTCCCCATACATGATTTAGACTGATTAAATAACTCCCATTATGCTTTCCAAGTTTAGAGTTTAAACACTCCCATCGGATGAGTTCATTTGCGAAGTATAATTTTTAAAATAAACATTGCATGTCTAAGCCGAGAAAATCAAAGCTAAAGTTTATGTAAATGAACATTATTTTTTATCACATATAAAATCGCCGACACGGCAGTGATTTCCTTTGTCTTTTCCTCACGAATTATTAATGAGTTTTTAAGGGACACGTGTCCTATTGCTTGTCTCCTGTCAACTTGTCTTTTGTTGCAAATGTTTAAATAAATTTATTGGCAGTCATGTCAACCATGAACCATAACATGTCAGGCGCAGTGGTTTTAAACCTGAAAAAACGCTCCTAATTAGTATTCTTTATATAAAGAATACTAATAAGGCAGTATATCTATTGAATTTGTAGTCGTGTTTGAAACCGTTTAATAAACTAGCAGGTCGTGTTTTATTAGGTCTAAAGCCAATTGCGCTGCGCACTAGATATATAAAACCAGGGCGTAACATAACAAACGCTCGGCTGCCCCTCTTGTTTTATATCTGATACACTCCTTCTCGTGTTTTAATTATATAAATAGTACTTAAATATATAATTTTCCTCGATGATACAATGGGCGAAAAAAATACGGCCAAAAATCTAATCTTACCTGTGACGGTTAAATTAGCGGAAGCAGAATAATTTCCAAGTACATTCTTTGCGACGCATTTATATATTCCAGCATCACTCCACTTCACAACATCTATGGTATATGTCTTGTTGGTGGTGACCTCGGTACCATTATGGGTTATGGTATGATTTGGTGCAGGAAAACCACTAGAGTCACACGTTATGATGCATGGGCTACCAATTACAGCACTTTCTGGTTCAAACGTAATCTTTGTGTTAGGTTTAACTGTGAAAAAACAAAACCACTTTGTCAAAATGGAAATAGCCAACTAGTTACTTTTTTGCGAATAATTATTAGTAATTACATTCACAGGCTTCGCACTGAAAACATATTTTTCTGTGGTTTCCGAAGTTTAGGGATGATCACGAGGGAAAATATTAACAAATTACTTACTTTCATCCAGTATACAGAACGTGATGAGAGTTGTAAATTTCACAATTATACTTTTACAGTCGCAACGGCATAAACTATGTAAACTCGCGTTGTAAACGGAGACATGCATGCAGGTGGAAAGAAACTGAACGTGTTTTTGGACAACATGGAGATTGTCTCTTGGTGGCGTTCCCGTGATAGATAAAGACCTTTTATAGCATCATTGTTTAAGTTTGCCAATATTTCCTAAAGTACAGACCAGCGTAAAAGGTGAATAACGTGGCTGACAAGTTTAGAAAAACATGTTCAATGATACACGGCCAAAAATCCCTGTGTAATTGGACTAAAAAAATGGACATCCCTATTCTTTGCTTGCATGCACATGGCGTCACTATACAGTAGGCATGGTAAATATTTCATTCACAAATAGAAGCTATATTCAATTATACTAAACTTGAAACTGGTGCCCCATGATAAGCTTTGCGCGCTTAAAGTTTAAACAAAAGGTGAACGTTTCAATATTTCTGCACAGTTCAAATGTTTAATTTTGAATCTTAAGTAGCATGAGCATTTAAAACAATTACATAGAAGACATTTTCTGAATTTTGGCGTCCAACAGAACACAATGTCAGTGTTGAAGGTTTATTGCAGATGACCTAACCGAGACTCGGGGGCATGCATAAATCATTATACATTCTATATTCTACTAGTATTTGCTTTCCGTGTTCCTTACATATGTTGCCGCCTGGTCAGATAGAATGCATGCAGGACAAAGAAAATGTGTCTAAAAATCTAATCTTACCTTCAACGGTTAAATAAGCGAAAGCTGAATCATTCAGTCCAAGTTCATTCCATGTAATGCATTCATATGTTCCAGCATCACTCACCTTCGCTTTAAATATGTGATAGGGCTTCCCAGTACTGAGCACGATACGATTATGGGTTATGTTATATCTTGGTTCAGGACGACCTTCAGAGTGACACGTTATGATAACTGATTTACCAACTTCAGTTTCGTCTGGTGTAATCGTAATCTTTGTGTTGTAAGGTTTGACTGTGAAAAAACAAAACCTTTTGTTATTATATCTCTAACTTTATTGATCTATAAAAATGTTACAATGTTGCTTCCCAGACTAAGTGCTAAGTATCTCTATCTCTATAGTGTCTGTGTTCTATGTCTCTAATATCTAAAATGTCTATATTCCTTATATGGTGTTTAACAGTCCAGTGTCATTTCACTAAATGTCTAATTACTACATCACTTCCCCTTTTTGAAGTTCAAGCATGCAAAGTCCAGGTGATAGCATGTCCATTACGTTCTGGCATTTTCCTTTCACGACTCGATCTGCGAACTTCGTTGTTGGTTCTTTCTCGTGTCTGTCTGGCTGGCTGTCGTCGTTGTTGTTGTTGTTTTCGTCATCCATGTCAAGTTTCAACGTTCTGTTGATTTGGAATGCGTTTGAAATGTGATACATTTCTAGTAATAGTATGTCCGTTGCTGTCGCGTACTGTAATTCTGGAGTTGTTTTTTATAATTACAGTATAAGGTGTACTGTTGAAGTTTGTTGAAAGTTTGTTACTTCGTTTTTGTCGTACTAGTACACTTCACCAACCTTAATGTTTCTATGTTTTGCATTGCTTCTGTTGTCAGCATATTGTTTGTTCAAGATAGGTAATTTCCCTTTAACTGTACGATTGAACAGTAACTCTGAAGGTGGGACACCAGTTGTTGAATGTGGGGCAGTTCGGTACTGTAACAAAAACCTATTAAGCTCTTGCTGCCAAGGGCGTCCTTGAATTTGTTCAGTTTTCAGTGCCTTTTCCAGAGGTTGCATAAACCGCTCGGTTTCCGCATTTCCTTGCGGTCAGTATGGTATATGCCACGGCTTGGCAGGGTATACATCCATCTAAGGTTTTCTTCACTTGTTGATCGATGTTTGCGAACCATATATTTTCTCTCAGCAACGCTTTTGTTTTCGTGAGACCAAGATGTGTCTCGTGTGCAATATCAATGGCTCGTTGCTGTAGAGATTTTGGCATTACTATCCGCGATCCGCGAAGGACAACTCCTTTGGATGTGACAGTAAGCTCTTCTTTAATTGCTTTAAATGGCTCTACTATATCATAGCACCATTTATTTAATTTGATTGCTGCTCTGACACCTTTCAGGGTTTCGTCCTGATTGGTTGCAGCTTCAACTTCCACTAAAGTCATAGCTTTAGGTACGCTATTACGAGCGACAAAGTTTACATGTTCTTCAGTCATTGTTTGTTGCTTACGACTGCTAGATGCTGGTAGACTGACAAGTCCTAACTCTTGCGCAGTAGTTGCAGATATCAAATTTCCGCTGTTGGACGTCTTTGTGACGTAAAACGTTGCCACGGTAACGCGTTTACGAGTCTCGATTGTCTCGCAAATTGAATTGTACGCAAAGCTTTAACGTTTGTTTGCTCCAGTTTAATGCCTTTCATTTCCGAGTACGTAGCCCGGTCGATAACAATCTCGAAACCAGAGCCCGCAATCCTCTGTGGAGGCTTGCTGAGGCTCTGGGAAATACCGGCGACTTTTGCACGAAAATCAGTACACTTGAATCCAGTGCTCCACTCAACATTTATAAATAGACATTACTGCCGTCAAACATGAATTATGCCGTTGTTTAAGCTCATATATTACGACTTTAATTCTTCAAAGAATACTTGCCATGGTTTTGAATTGTTGTAAGATACTGGTAGTGATTTATTTTAACTTGTTTAATTACGGTAAATCATGGATTGTTGTGTTATTTTAAATATTACAGGCAACGGCTTACAGTATCATGGCCTTATATGATAATGCTGCACTGTTATTCTACATTTTGTTATTGGCATATCAATATCTGAATAGTCTATTGATATCATATAAGAAGCTAAGGAAGATTAATAAGTTTATTAAAGTTATGCTGTGTGTTTCATTGATATGTTTAAACATAATGCACAAAAGAAATAAACTAGCTTTATATTAATATTAAACGATGTTTGAAATCCGAATAACTAAATACGGCTCAAAGTTTGAATAATAATTAGCACTTGAAAAACTTTTGAGGGCCGCTTGGGCCTGAGGACGAGGATGTTGAAAAACAACCAATAAGAGCCCGACTTTCACCGGTGTTTCCCAGAGCCTCAGCAAGCCTCCACAGAGGATTGCGGGCTCTGGTTTCGAGATTGGGTCGACAACATTAATACAGGCACCAGTATCCACGGTTGCTTTGAAGGAATGTTGGCACAGTTTCACATTGACCTTCGGAGCCTTATCGTTGGAAACTTGATATAAATAGTCATTATTGTCCGAACTGTCCGTATCGCTGTCAACTTTACTGATTGGGTTTATAGGTGCTCGCTCCCGCGTGTGTTGATGTTTCGTCGACCGACCCGGTTGATTTTGACGTTGTAATTGTCCTCGGCAAACGCGAACGAAATGATTAGGTTTTTGACACTTGCGACATTGTTTACCGTGAAATTTGATTTGCTCCTTCGAAATTTGCGTCTTTCGATTTGATGTCGCGAGCTTGATACGCGCCGAGCCCATCACGTCGACCATCGAGAAGGATTGACTTTAGATCATACGTTGGGTCTCGTAAAGCTTTTTTGCGAATTCGAGAGGACAACCCTGCTGTGATTATCTGTTGCTCGATCTCAAAGTCCACGTCGTTAAACGAACACGTTTGCGCTAAGGTCCGTAATCTTGTATGGAATTGGTCGAGGGTTTCATGAGCTTCTTGATGGGCTTGACGATGAAATGCCCTCAGCATTTTTGTTTTGGCTTATTTAGAAAGGTAATTTCTTCTTCTTAGGAGACCGCTGGACGATTGAGTTATTATCAATACAATTCAAACATAATTTGTTTACAATCAAAATTCAAACATTGAAATGACTTGCCAATTTCGTTGCGAAAATGAACTTGGATATTTATTTGGCAAGTTTGCAAAGAACGTGGTAACCACATGATTGTGTTAGTTAAAAAATAAGTTTAAAGCGACTTAATAGTATTACGTATCGAGCGTTGTTTTCCTGGCAGCTTTATAACGAGCGAAATTACAAAAATAAAGAGGTTTTAGTCCATGCTGCGCAATGGAGAGGTTCTCAGAGTAACTTCACTATACCGCTACCACTATATTAAGGGATCATTAATTTTAATTAAATAACTAATCAGATGCGTTTGATATATCCGACTAAACGACCAGATGCGTCCTAAGCCAAAAGGGTAATGGTAGTGGAAGTCAAATCTGAACGTCTCTATTGTTGTCTGGGCGTCGGGCGATTTTTCCTACAAAAATGGCTCAAGCTGTGTTAGTGTTCCTAGGCGTTCTTCTGTTTGTGTTTTCCTTATAACATTTATAAATATATTAACGGCTAAAGGTTAACAAATAAATGAATTATATAGTCAGGATCTCTTCGATGATTGACAAGCTTTCAGCCACATTTGTATGATATTTGCCTTTAATATAACACCCAACATGTATGTATTATAATAAAGTCGACCACGGTTTGCACCAGCATATAAGTACAGTAACAAAACACAAGAAAACTGGTGTAAATAAAAGTAGTACGTGTATATAAAAGCGATCAAGTGACAAAAATGAACCAAACAGATAGAGATTTGGTCAAAAGATTTCGTCCAAACATCTAATCTTACCTATGATGGTTAAATTAGCGGAAGCTGAATCGTTTCCAAGTTTATTCATTGCGACGCATGTATATATTCCAGCGTGTCTGTACTGTATATCATCTATGGTATACGTCTTGTTAGCACTGACCTCGGTACCATTATGTATTATGCTGTAACTTGGTTCAGGAAGACCTTCAGAGATACACGTTATGGTAATCGATTCACCTACTACAGCTCTTTTTGGTGTAAACGTAATGTTTGTGTTGCTAGGTTTAACTGTAAAAAAAAAAAAAACCTCTTTGTTACTGATGAAAACAGGAAAATACTTTTTTGTGAATGATATTAATTATTAGTAAGAACATATTCACTCAGAGTATATTTTACCAGCTGGGAGGTACTGAAAATATATTTTGCTGTGGTCTGGGAAGTCTATAGGGATGTTCCCAAAGGAAATTTTAGCAACGCTTTATCTACAGTACGGGGAAGTGATGAGATAAATTACGGTAAAACAATTAGTCGTTATACGCCATTTTCCCATTGACGTTTAGCTAGCAATTTTCCAATTTACATCTGCCAAAAATATCTTTCCCGTAATTACGACACGACTAACACTGTTTTC